AAATAAGAGAATTAAATAGACGAGTATTGATTAGATCTTGGGGTGGTAACTTTCTAAGCTTTAAAATCATAGACAGAAAAAATTACATAGGAAAAACATGACACAAATCTGACAATATCCACTTTTAAAACTCAACATCCTATATAATAATCCTATATAATAAAAGGGTAATATGCAAATTGACCCTAACAGTGGACCGACCAGGAACGACAGGTTGCTATGACGCGCACTAACCACCAAGGGGCAGACGCTCAATGCAGGAGTGGCCCCCTGGCAGTCAGTGAGCTTCCACAGGGGGAGCACCACTCAGCTAGAAGCCGGCTCATGGCTGGCCAGCACAGCTGAGGTGGTGGGAACCTCTCCCGCCTTAGCAGCGCTAAGGATGTCACAGTAACAGGGAGTGGGCCTAAGCCGTTAGTCAGACATCCCCTGAGGGCTCCAGGGCTGCCAGAGGGATGTCTGACTGCCAGCTTAGGCCCAATGCCCTGGGGCACAGGCCTAAGCTGACAGGTGGACATCCCCTGAGGGGCCCTGGAGTGCTAGAGGCTGAGGGACCCCCCCCCCAAGTGCACCAAGCCTCTAGTATAACAATAAAAATGAAAATCTTTAATAGGCAGTCAGAAGGAGAAAGTATTTCTGAGTTAGATGTGATGACAAAGAAGCACATTGCTACGGCACTTAACAAAGTTCATGCAAACCAGGCACCTGGCACAGTCATTACTGATCAGTTAATATTTGCTGATTAAAAACCCCATGATAAATGGGCAATGGCCATGCAGAGACCACTCACACACACGCAGGTTAAAAACCTAATGCTAGAAAGAAAAAGCAAGCATTTAAAAGGAATGTGAACAAATTATGCTGTACCCACAGAATTAGTAAAGAAAAAAGTAAAATAGATTGTAAAAGAAAAAAATGTATGAACTTAGTAACTAGCATTGAGTACAAATCCATGGGACGGTCTTTTCTGGAAAGCAACATGGCAACAATTACTAAGATCCATAAAAGGGCCCTGACCTCTCGGCCCAGGAACCCTACCCCAGGGGACTGGTCCTAAAGGAATAACCCAGCCGAAGAAACAGACCTCCATGCAACCAGCATAGTAAGTAGTGCAAGTGGGCCAAGCAGAGTGGGTGGGCTGTTCTCCTTGGTTTCTGTGAACTCATTTGCGTTTCCCGCTTTTCCTTTAATCCCTGACATTAGTAAAGGAAGCAGCTGCTTCTCTTCCCGCCCCGGGCCAGCTGTGATTGACAGCGTTCCCTCAGGCACGGGGCCAAGCACTTCATGTGCAGCATCTCGTAAACGCTCCCTCCTCCTGGCAACCTCCAGGCTGGTGCTGATATTCACGAAGTTCGCTGATGCCAGGGAGGTGAACTAGAGCAGGATCTTCAACTGTAAGGGAACAGAGCGTCCTGGGGGCCCCGGCCAGGAGCCAGGAGCCAGGTGCTGCTCGAGGGCAGCCTGGCTCACGGGAACAGCCTGGACTTTGACTTTAGCCCCTTGTGCTGACTCAGTGACATGGGGTTTTGTGAAGGCAGCGGCGCTGAGCAGCCTGATAGGGCGTGCAGGGCAGCACGAGTTCTCGCGCTGAGTTCCAGATCGCATTTCCCTGGTTTTGTGCAGCAGGCAATGTCCCGAGGGAGGCTTTCTGCAGGTGTTGTAATCAGCAGGGGCTGGGAGCACCCGACGGGGCATCAGGTGGGGGGACTAAATAGAGGTCCCAACACACACTGGAGACAGCATCCGCTCTTCTCTAGTTTTCTGGTCTCCCAACCTCCCTTCAGACGCGCAGCCTCAGCTCCGGAGCCCCATCCCTCCCGCCAGCTGCCAGCAGGAGTTTTGGTTTTGCGATGGCCTCAGCTCGATATGGCCTGGCCCCTGTAACTCGGGCCAGCTCTCCTCCTGCTCTCTCACACGTGTAGTCCCACTGGGCTCCTCTCTGTCTTAGAGCCTCTGTACCGTCTGTTCCCTCTGCCAGGAACACCCTTCCCAGCATCCATATGGCGGGCCCTGCCCATTAGTCAAATCTTTGTTCCCACATCTCCCTCCCAGTGAAAGCTGCCTTTAACACGGCTCCCCGCACCCTGGGCTCCTGGCCCGCCTTTCCTGATGAGGCAGCTTTTCCATAGCTCTATCACCTCCGACCCATTATGTAATTCACGTATTGATTGTGTGTATTGTTTGTTTATTTTTCCCCCTTGCTAGAACGTAAGCTCCGTAAGGGCTGGGATTTTTGTTTCTTTGAGCCACTCATAACCCCGACAGGTGGCACAGTGCTTGGCACATAGGGGGCCCCGATGGATATTTGTAGGGTTAATAAAGGAATGGCAGGCCTGCCGCCTGGCCTGGACCTCAGACTGGGCACCTGCAGCGGGGGGTCTTGTTGGCGCTGGTTCACAGCTCGGGAGGAAGGGCCTGGAGATAATCGTGACATTGCCTGTCTGCCACCTCCACGGAGTCTTTGATTGATTGGGAGAAGGGGGCTTTGATTTTGCTTCTATTTCGCCTTCTAAGGGGCATGAGCTTGTTTCCTAATCTGTAAAATGGGGAAATAGCGATACACAGGAGAACATGCCTCCCTGGGCTCGGGGGAGAGTGGCAGGGTCCTGGAGTTGGGTAGAAACAGGAACAATTTCACCAGCAGAACCGGGACAAGGGCCCTCACCCTGACTCTGCAGCTGGGCCCCGGGACCCGGCTGGGAGTGATGTGCGCAGACAGATGTTCCCCGGGACACCGCCGGCTCTGCCTCTGCAGTCTCTCTTTCACCAGGAGCAGGCGTCTGGCCAGAGCACTGAGCGGAGACGGAGGTGCTCGGCTCTGAGCAGGCCTGCTTCCTCGGGGAGGCCCAGGGCAGCTGGCCCAGGAGCTGCTGGGTTGTTCTCAGCCTCCACCCCACCTGCCTCCTTCCCTGGCAGCCCCCCGCCCTACAGTAGCCCTGGATTCTCCCTGTGACTGTGACAAAGAGCAGCCAGGCCTGGGGCAGGCGGCACAGGGGAGCAGACCCCAGTCCCCGGTCCCTCACCTGGGGCTACTCTGTGTCCCAGCAGTGGTCCTGGCTGAGTTACTCTCTGGACTGGGCGTTCTTCCACTCACGCGATGAAGGTGACAATCCTGTCCTTTCAGGTTGCCAGGATGTGGGGGTGATGGGCATAGAGCGTTGACAGGCACATGGGCACCAGGTGATGACTCGCGTTTCTGTGTCATTGCCATTAGGTGACCTCTGTCCCAGCACCAGTGCCCCGGAACCGGCACTCCTGCTGTGTGCATGTGGACAGGGCCCCAGGAGTGAAGAGAGGGGTCTGGAAGTAAGGCTTGAGGAGCGGCACTGAACCCCAGAGACCCGCTGGGGACCAGGCTGGGGGAGGGGCAGAAGGAGGGGGAGGGTGTGTCCCCCTTTGGGGCCTTTTGCCTGGGTAAGGTGGTGCTCAGAGGAGGCACCAGCTTCTTGTCCACAGTCTCCGCCTCCCAGTGCCCACCCCCAACCCTCCACTGGCGTCCGGGCTCTGCTGTGAGAGAGGCTGTCCGTGTCCCCATCCGTCCAGCAGCCCAGGAAGCCACTGTGAGCCCTCACCCTGTTGGACCATCAGCCCTGCTGGCAAAGTCAAAGCACCCTGGGAGCAGGAAGAGAGAAGCAGATGCATGGGCTGCTCCGCGCAGGGTTGGCTGGGGCCATGGGTCTGGTGCCTCTGCAGCCTGGCCAGGGTGCCTCTGCCTGCCGCCGCCTACCCTGCCAGGCTGCTCACCACCCCTCACTCTCTGGCTGCACCTTCTCAGCCTGGAGGTCCCCTCGCTGGTCTCTCTCCTCCTCAGGGGTCTGCAGCCCAACTTCGCATCTTTCTATGATGCAAACCTGACCCGGTCAGTCCCATCCTCCGGGTCTGCAGTGGCTGCCCTTAGAGTCACAGGCTCCTCGCCCTGCCATTCAAGGCCTGCTTTGGTTGATGGCAGTGCCATTGTTTCCCACTGGCTTCTCTGGCAGCCTGCCCCCCAGCCGCATGGACTCACGGTCTGTCCCCTGAGAAGGCAGTGCTTCCCATGTAGTAGCTTTGCTCACGGAAGCCAGCCCCTGCAGCGCCCCTCTCTCCCCCTGTATGTGCCGAGCCCTCCCAGCCCCCAGCCTCGAGGAAAGGGTGCCTCCCACACAGGCTCCCCTGCATGGAAGCCAGGTCTCCCTGCCCTCCCCTTGTCTCGGCTCCACACCTAGACGGTCTACTGACAGTGTGAGCACAGAGCATTGCGAACATGCCTCTCTCCCCTGTGAAGCAGGAAGAGAGCCTGGAAGGCAGAGGCCATGGCTGCTTTATCTCCAGCTCTCCCCGTGGGCCTGGCTCTAGAAGTATCTGTACCTGCAGCTCACAGGCACACGTGCCTGCACTCGAATGTAAGCCAGGCACAGCGTCGGGTCTCTGCTGCAGTAATTCTGTGTCACAAGCCTCCACACTCCCAGTGCCTGTAGCATCTCTTTCTCTTGCCCGAGGGCCGGGGGGCTGGGGGGGTGGGTCTGGGGCGGGGGTGGGGGCTGGCTGCGTGGCTCTGCTTCAGGCTGCAGGTCTAGGGGTGGCCTGGAATTGGCCAGGCTCCAGGCCACAGGTTGGCTCCAGGTCCGTGTCGTGTGCCCGCAATTGGAGACCAAGGCGTACGGGCCAGTGGTTATCTGGAACAAGCTCTTCTTATGGCAGACGAGCAGGAGTGAGGTGTAAGCAGGCAGTATTTAAAACACAAGGCTTTGCTCACGGAAGCCCGCCCAAGTCACATTGCATCTCCTAACTTCCACTGGTCAAAGCAAGCCTCCTGGTCAACCAGGCAGGGAGGCCCACCCACCTACTCTAGTGAGACACACTGCAAGGCCACAGGACAAAGCACAGCTCTGTTGCAGGGAGGGAGGGGAGAACCAGGCACACATTAGCCCTGCCAGCAGCCTGCCCAGCCTCTGCAGGGGGAGCAGGTGCCTGCAGGGCTGTCCGTGCCTCTGTCTCTCTAGACCCTCTTCTCTCCACAGATGAGCCAACCTCCCCCAAGAAGCCCAAGAGTGTCCCGGAGCCGGAGCCCGGTGATGTGGAAGGCGAAGCCACCTGTCCCCTGCCCTCTGAGTGGACCTCCGTGAGGATCAGCCCCGGGGAGGGCGCCACTGGGCAGGACGTGCTGGCTGTGCGTGTCCTGGTCACCAGCGACGACGACAGCAGGTATGCTCAGGCGGCTGCAGGATGAGGGCAAGATGGGTCGGGAGTTGGAACGTATTCAGAAGCTGGTCTCCTCTGTTTACATGCAGTTTGACCTCTCTGTGCCTGCATGTTTTCATCTGTAAAATGGGGACAATCATAGCACCTGTCTCATAGAGAGTTGTCAGATCAAAGAATTAATATGTAAATTACATAGAACAGCTCAAGCTAGCTTAAGTGACAAAGGCAACTCCGTTGGTTCATCTGCTGGAGCAGGCACGGTTGGAGCCAGAGACTCCAAGAGCTGCTCTGCACATTGGATTACAGCATCCACAGAGAGGCCATCTCTCTGGGTGGGCCTTCTGGCTAGGCAGGCCTCCAGGGGGCACCACCCACGTCACATGCCCGCCTCTGGGCTAACTGGTGAACAGGACTGGGAGGCCATGACCGGTGGGCTTGTGCAGTCTGGCGGATAGACAGTCTACCAAAGCCCGCAGATGGATGAGGGGCAGTGCCTCAATGAGAAGAAGCCACTGGATGTCTCTATAGACAATAAATGCATATATTTACTAACATGTCCCTGCCCAAGGGGTTGCACTTTCTCACCCTGGGACCTGCCTGGGCTGTCCTCCATCTGAGGACACCTGGTTCCCCTCCTCTGCCATGTGACTTCCTGCTGGTCCTGTAAGACCCAGGTTCAATACTGCCACTCCCCATCCCAGGCAGTCTTTCCCATCCCCCACCCATTCCCAGGAGAGCAAGCAGTTCAAGTCTGAAGGTTTAGGACAAACTCATTTTGCCCAGAGAGCTTAGCAGCCATGCCCAGGATGGGTGAGGGTGAGGGAACCAGCCTCCAAGCCGGTACTTCATTGCACGTTGGCTGGGCTAATTCTCCTGCTGGGACCCACACCTGTGCCTGTGTTCACTGCTAAGGCTGCCATGGAGCAGCACAGCCTGGGTAGCTCAAATGACCGAGATTTACTCTCTCCATCCCAGAGGCTGGGGGTCTGAGGTCCAGGTGTTGGCAGGGTTGCTCCTTCTGAGGGTGTGGGAAGGATCCAGGCTCCTCTCCTTAGTTTATATGCGGATGATGATCCTGCTCTGGGGACATTTTCCTACTGCGCCTGTCTGGGTCCTAATTTCCTCCTCTTGTAAAGGACACCAGTCCCATTGAATTAAGACCCAGCCTAATGGCCTCATTTTAACTTAATTACCTGTTTAAAGACCCTTCCTCTGAATGCAGTCACTTTCTGAGGTGCTAGGGGTTAGGACGTAATATGAATTTTGGGGAGCACAGTTTAGCCCATAACAAAGTCTGAGGCTGGAGGCAGTGGTGGGCAGGACGCAGTGTGGGTTTGGGGGTGACTGGCAGGCTCCCCGATCACCCACTCTCTCTCCCCTCCCCCAGCTCTGATGCGGAGTTGAACTGCAGCAGCCGCAGCAGCGAGGCCTTCAGCACGGAGCCCTGTGAGGAAAGACCCCAGCAGCCGGACCGCCCACCCCTGCGGGAGCCCCTCAGCCGCCACAGCTCCCTGAGGGAGCCCCTGAGCAGGGCGGCCTCTGCACAGGACCCCGAGGAGCCCAGAGCTCTGCACGGTGAGCAGAGAGCCTGCCTGCCCGGGACAGGCTTGCTGGGTCCCGGGACAGGGGGAAGGAGCAGAGAGCCCCACGGCCAGTTTCACCTGCGGAGGACCCTGTGACAGGAGATGCGACCCGCAGGCTCAGAGGCAGTGGGGCTGGGACTTGAGGGGTGCTGGGTACACGTGCGGGTCACCCAGGCCCACCTCCTTCGTCGTGGGAATCTCAGTAGGAAGGGGCTGGGGCCCAGCTGTCTTTGTGTGTCACAGGCAGGCAGAGATGGGAGGCCCCGGGCCCTCCTGCCTGGAGTAGTCTCCTTCTGCCTCCTGTGCCTCTCCTCAGGGGGCCCCGCCGAGGAAGAGGGGTGGCCCCGCTGCTGTTGGACTCCATGCAGTCCCAGGTAGCATGGCCTCCCTCGGCTACTTGGCAGCACAGGGCCAGGGCCATGCTGGGGCTTGTGGCACGTAGCAAAACAGCCTACATAAGAATAGAGGCACTTCCACCGAGTGCGTGGAGGGCAGGGGTTCCCCATACACGGCCCCACTCATCCTCAGATGGCCCTGGAGGTGATATGAAGCCCAGTGAACAGGTGAGTAGAGGGCCTGACTGCCTCCTGGTCTCCCAGCTAGTGAGCGGTGCAGCCCAATGCTGGGCGCCTCTACACCCTAAGAAGAAGGTGTCCTTAGACGCCCAGCTTGTTGCAGTAAAGGTGGCCTGGAATGAGCGGTTTGATTCCGCCAACAGCAAAGGGAGTCCTCTGGGTGGAAAGAACAGGCGAATAGAAACTTGCCACCCGGGACCAATGGCCTTGGTGGCCCTGGGAGAGCAGGAGCTCTATTTGCCTTGCCCTGCTCTCTGGTGGCTGTGAGCGGAATTGCACCGGAACCTAGAAATACTCTCCTAGGGGATGGTTTCCCGGGAACCACCATGAAAATGATGGATCAGAAAGACTGAGGCCGAGGCCACAATCCTGGAAACTCTGAGGTTTCCCTCCCATGTGAGCTTGTTTCTAAAAAAGACACATGTGCTAAGAACCAGTTGTGGTGCTGTCCAGAAAGGCTTAGCCCCTGCTGAGCAACGAGTGCTGCGCTCTGCCCAGCTGGGTGCAGCCTGCCTCTGTCTGGGTACTGCCTGGCCTAGGTCGGCCCCTGGTATCCCTGGGCTCCAGCCTCCTCATCAATAAATACAAAACCTGCCCTAGCTGGTTTGGCTCAGTGGGTAGAGCGTTGGCCTGCGGACTGAAAGGTCCCGGGTTCGATTCCTGCCAAGGGTACATGCCCGGGTTGCGGGCTCAATCCCCAGTAGGGAGCGTGCAGGAGGCAGCCGATCCATGATGACCTCTCATCACTGATGTTTCTATCTCTCTCTCCCTCTCCCTTCCTCTCTGAAATCAACTAAAAAATATATATTAAGAAAAAATTTACATGGACATGGGAACTACAAGAATTTCCCTCTTCCTTAAAAAAAAAAAAAAAAAAAAAATGAAGTCTGCTTGCCCCTCCCTCTTTCCCTCCAGTTCTCCTCTCTCCTCAGTTACCAGGGGATTTTAGGCAACTTACCGGAAAGACGTGACACAAGATTGTCTGTTTATATACACGCGAGATAAAGCCGCAAGATCAGGGTTAACAGAACCAGATGAGGGGGTCAAGACCCCAGAGAGGAAGGTCATGGTCCTAAACAGTTGCTCTCGTGGAATCATAAATTTGATTCTGAATTTCCTGGCTGCCTGAGTTAAGAAGGAAATAGATAATTTTTGTTCTCATTGTTCATGAGGGGAAAAAATATATTGGTTTGCAGCAGCAGCGGGTCTCGGAGCAGGTCCCACTTTCTCTAATGCTTCACCCTTCAGACATTGTCCAGCTCATGTCAAATAGATGCTACCGGGAGATGCATCAGGTCACGCCTGGAGCAATGGCTCTGCAAAACATGCAGCCACAGTTTTCCCGAGGCTGTTTCCCTCCGCCTCCCTGGCTGGCAGGCGAGGGCAGGGCTCGCAGGAGCGGATCTCCCAGGGGAGTGGTTGAGAGAACAAGGTAGTGTGGCCGAAGCATTTTGTTTCTGACAGTCCAGTTTAATTCCAGGATAAAGTGTAGAATAGACAGAGACGTGGCTAGACTGCATGACTTGCGAGCAATCTTCTGTCGATTTCGTCTTCATCCATCCTGGTTTTGATCGTCGCTGGGCAAACCACATTGGCATGTGATTTGTGTTGCTGGTTGTGGAGAGCCCATCGCGTTTCCAGATATTGCAGCGTTGACATCATGTGGTGGGTGTTGAGGGAGCTTTATTAATCCCACTCTCACCTGGATATATGGTTCGGAGGTGAGCCAGGGAAACGCTGGACAAGACCAGGCGGAGCTTTAAAAAGAACCCCGGGGTGTACGCCACACTGCTCATAGCGACATTATTCACAGCCGCCAAAAGGGAGACGCGGGCCCACGGCCCATCCGCAGGTGAATGGAGAAACCAAGTGTGCTATAGCCACCCCATGAAATGTCACTCAGCCTGAGTACCATGCGACCACATGAAGGAATATTAAAGTCATTACACTCAGTGAAATAAGCCAGACACAGAAAGACAGGCATTGCACGAGTTATACTTCTATCAGGTGCCAAGACAAGTCAGATTCATAGACAGAAAGGAGAATGGTGCCTGCCAGGGGCCGGGAAGCGGCTGGGTGGGGAACTGTTGTTTTTAATGGTAAAAGGCTGCAGTTTGGGACGAGGAACAAGTTCTGGAGGTGGGTGGTGGCGATGGCGGCACAACAGTATGCATGTCCCTAACGCCACTGAACTCTACCCTTAAAAATGACAAAAACGACAATGTATCCAGATTATTGTCATTGTTCATCTACAAATGCAAAACATAATCATTTTAAAGTACCTTGGCAGGGTATGGAGGGTAACTATTCTATAATAGCTTGATGATCCTGATGATTTTTAAAAAAGATAAAGTTGGATCTTCCATGTTACTGTCACAAAATTAAGATCAGTATTTAAAAGAGGAAAAGTATTAAAATATGAAGGATAAAAAGTGGCAAACATGGTTGTTTTTTGTGGTAGACACTACCTCACACCGGGACGCCCTCAGCTCCCCAGGGAACCTGCTGCCTCCTCAGGGTTCTGGCCTGGAGCACACGCCAGAGGATGGTTTGAAAGGGAGCTTAAGCCCCGCGTTACTGAGGCTGCAGAAAACGCTCAGTGCCGTTCCCCTCATACACCTGATGTCGTCGTTCTCACAAACCTGGTTTCAAAGGCACCTTTCTGGCCTCCCACCTCCAGAGGCTGAGGTTCAGTGGGTCTAGAGTGGGGCCCAGTGTCTGTGTTTTATGTCAGTGCCCCAGATGCTCCCGCGCGGGAGGGCCCAGCCCGACACAGAGCCACTGAGCCAGCCGGTCCGGCGCCTCTGTTTCTTGAGCGGTTTCACCGTGAGCTGACTGAGGTTGACGGTGGGCAGCAGGATGTGGCTGTGCCAGAGGCCTGCTCGTTCCTTGTGCGAGACTCCCAGCCTGGGGAACACTGACCTGCACTTGGTGAGAGGAAGTGGGCCCAGGCTGCAGGCAGACTGCTCATCCTACATCCGGTAGATGGGGAGACTGCACCCCGCGCCTGTCCACACAGCCCCCCTCAAACCCATGGGCAGGATGTGAAAACAGGCCTGTGGGATGGGGGCCCGCCATTCAGGGGAGCAGGCTCACAGGGTCTCCACGTGGAGTGAGGGCGGGAGGGTGCCCAGGATTGGAGGGCTGTTCCGAGGGAAGGAAGCCCCCAGGCAGCGGCTGACACCTGTGCTATGCAGCCCAGCTGATGCGCGTCCACACCCAGCTCAGCACTGGCAGGAAGTGAGGGTGGAATCCAGGACTTCCTACACAGAGAGGGCCATGCCCGCCGGGCCTTGGGCTCAGAGAGGCCCGCATTCAAGCCTTCCCCACGCTCAGTTACACCCCTCACATACCCCCATCACTTCCACGGCCTTTCTTCCATGCCTCCTGGTCCTATCTGTGTGTGCATTCGGCAGGCATCACCCCATTCTTTCTCTCAAGGCTGTGATGGAACCGCCCCAGGGACTGGCGGCCACATCTGTGGGCCCATGTGCGATTTCTCTTCTGCAGGTGATGTTCACTGAGCTCAGCTAATCCTCAAGGCCCACTGGGCAGAGGGTCCTCAGGGCACAGTCTACAGCCTCCCGAAGTGTTTCCGTTGGAACCCAGGCCAAGAGGGTGTTCAGGGCAGTGGGTTGCCAGAGGTTCAGTTAGAACTGGCTCCCAGAGGGTTCGCAGGGCTCTGCGGGGCAGGGGAGCGGACAGAGCTCCTGCAGGTTCCAGGCTGCATCGCAGTGCGCGCGTGGGCCACTGATGTGAGACTTCGGCTCTGACGAGCTGCTCTGCTAAAAACAAATGCGCACATGTATTGTATACGGGCATGTATGTATCTGTGCATACATGTAGGCATGTAAACATGTACACGTAGGTATGCTTATTAACGAGGGCCATTTGGAATGATGGCTCACAATCGGAGGCATTTTCTAAAAGGCGGCAGGACCTGTCCCATGGCAGAGTCTCCATAAGTATCTGGTGAATGAATGAATGAGAAACCGAAGGCGTGTGCTGGGACAGGAGGGCGCAGTCAGAGGGAAGGAAGGGGCTCAGTCAGTTATGGTCATCAGCCAATTCAAATGGACCATAGGAGAAACCCCCCCCCCTTTTTTGAACATGTTTAACAGACTCTTCCTCCCTTCCCACCTTCCCTGCCTTTCTTTTTTCCACTACAGCTCTGCAGCGGGCCAACAGCCTCCAGTCCCCAACTCTCAGCAAATACCAGAGCTGGAGAAGAAAGTGCCAGCCAAGTGAGTCACGGGCTCTCTGGGGCTGGGTGGGGGTGGGGTGGGGGCGATGGGGGCGAGAATTCTCTGACTAATTCTCAGGGGCAGCTGTCCTCATTCCTTACACAACCTCTGACCTGGCCTCCTGGATGTGAGCAGCAAGGAAAGAAATAGAAGGTTGGCCCTATTTCCGCTGCTGACCCGAGGAAGCATTCCCTGAGGGATTTGGGACCCCCTTTCCCCTCGGCTCCCCAGTCCAGAGTCATAGAGCCTGAGGACTCAGTTACACGTGGAAGGGGCCTTATCGCCTCAGCTCCAAACTTTTTGAAACAGCGACGAGGATACTGGGGCCCTGGAGTTGGGCTGGGGGCATCAGCTGAAGTTCTTGCAGTCAGGGGCAACGCAATGAGGGAAGCCAGGCGTGCACACATGCCCTGTCCTTTTTCTGAGCAGCCTGTGGGCCTCACATCCCAGGGAAGAGCAGGGTGGGTGAGGACCAGGGCCTGTGGTGGATGCCAAGGCAGCGGGCTCCCACTAGGGGGCGCAGTGACCACACACAATTGCAGGGCATCCCAGGGCTGCAGCTATTACAGAACTGGGATTCCCTCTCCTAGCCTGAGAGAGGGGCAGGAACTCTTCTGATTCCAAGTTCATCGCCGCTTTCCACCTCTTCCTGCCCCGACACACCCTCTCTGGGCCTTGCTCTAGGAGAGATGGACCCTGGAAAGCCTTGGGTTAGACAAGGTTTTCTAAAAAAAAGAAACGCTGTTGTAGTTGGAACACAGTGCTCGTTTTGTTGACTCCTTCCTTCTGAGTCAGTGCCGACTCCTGGCCAGTGAGTCATTCTCCCGGCAGCCCCCGGCCCTGCAGCCTCTCCCTCAGGTCAGGCTGGGACATGGGTGCCGCTGGAGCTGGGTCAGGGCTGCACACCTGGGCAGGGCACTTCACCTGGGACAACCCAAAATAACTCTTGAATCAACCCACAGCCCCAGGCAGTGAGAACGAGGGGAAGGAGCCAGTTAATGTTTACGGAAGACCTGGGCCAGGCCTTTCCCACAAGTCATCGCATTTACTCCCTCACCACAACCCGTCTCTGTCGTGGGACTTCTGCTTCCATGGCTGGGTCCCTTTGGGTGAAGATTCCATCCCAGTCATCCCATCAGCTGTACTGAGTGCCTCCAGTGAAGGGGATTATCCTTGCCCTCAAGAAGTTCCCAGTCTGGCCTGAGAGCTGGGAGTCTGGTGGGGGCCCTCCCAGTAGGGCCAGGCTGCTGGAGGAGACACAGCCTGGAGACCCCAGCCCTGTCTTTAGTGATCCCAGAAATAACAGGTATAGGTAGCTGATTTGAGAGCAGGCCTGGAGTTCAAACCATTTCTATGGGTGCCTACCATGAACCTGGCCCAAAGAAGGCACCAAGTCCTTCCTTGCTGAATGAATGAATGAATGAATGAACCAACTTCTGAACAAACTTATGAATGAAGAGTGAAAAATGAATGACCAAACCAGGGAACAAGCAGGCTGGGCCCAGGGCAGGCACAGATGAAGCACATGGTTTAGGCCTGCTCAGGCTCCACGCCTAGAGGGCGCTCCAAGGCTTGGGGAGGATTTGAGCCAGGCTGAGTTCAGCATTCTGGAAGCTGCCCGCTGCGGTCCCAGCCTTTTTAAAAATCCCCAGAGCTAAAAGCCACTTGAGCTATCTTTTTGGTCATTTTCATTTTGCCCAAGAGGAAACACCAATGGGCAAGGCTGGTGCTATAGTAGGAGCAGAATATGGGGCACCACCTCCTCTGTCCACTCACTGCCCTGAAAAGGCTGGTTCTGTGTGATTGCCCTCAGCACCCCCCCACCCCCCCACCCCCGCTGGCCATGTTCACAAGAATGACCACTGGGATCAAGGGGAAAGGTCACCAATGCCAGAGGGCCCAGAGGAGAGGCCCTGGTCCAGATGGGATGTGGGGCTGTAGCACAGGCTCATCGACCCCCTTTGCAAGGGGCCTGCACAGGGCAGGGCAGCCCGGCCTGGGCCATGCCAGGTGTTAATGAGTTGAGGAGGAGGAGTTGTGGGGTCCATGAGGGTGTGCAGCCCCCTCTGGGAAGGGTTAGCGTTCGGCGATGTTTTTATTGGACACCACCCGTGTGCGTGGGGAAAGGGATGGAATTCCTAGTTCTGTGTGATTTTTGCATCCTGCACTAGGCATCTCTTTTTATCTCATTTTATTCCTTCAGCCTCCCCTGACGCAGCAGTAGATTTCTTGAGGAAACTGGGGGTTAAGAGACTTGCTCAGTGTCCGGCAGCTGGTGTGGATGTAAAGGAGGTGGGGTTCCAGGCTCCCCTTTACCATTGTCTGAGGGAACCCAAAGACATCAGCCACCTGGGGCGGTGTATTCCCTGTCACCTTCAGCTCTGCTCTGGCCTCACCTTCCTCTCCCGCACAGCAACCCCCGCCCCCCAAGCAGCAGCTGGAATGGCGGGTGCTCTGTTCACCCCACCTCGTCCAGCCCTCCCCACGTTCTCCTGCAGACAGAGCGTGAGGGACATGTGTGCAGCGAGAGTCCCCACTAGCGGGGATGAAGGTGGGGATTAGAGGAAGGAAAAAGAGAGGAAGCAGCTCCCAGGTCATGACCTTGTGAACCCCAAGGCCTTCCTGGCAACCAAGCCCAGGTGCCCTTGGCTCTGTGTCAGAAGGTCCCGGGAGAGCTCCCCGGGGGAACACAAAGGCAGTGTGTTGAGCTGAGGGGACTTTGAGTCAGAAGGTGGCAGAGAGAGGAGAATGAGGGGGCGAGGAAGAGGAGGAGAAGGAATTTGGCAGGAATTTGGCAAGCTGGGCCCAGGAAACAAGGCAACAACTGACTCACAACTTTTGCCTTTTTAGGCTCGAACCATCTAACTGTGGGCTGGGATGGAGGTCCGCAGGCTGAGATGGGGGGTTGGGTAAGAGGCCAGCGGCCTCCCCCGCGGCAGCTCCTGGCAGCCGGCGGTCTTTCTCCCCAGCAGCTCCTTCCTGCCACCTCAGCTCTGTTCCCCTGGGTTACCTTCCCCCTGACGAGTTCTGGAGGCTTCCCTTTGGGAACTCGCTCACCATGCGTGTGTGCGGGCCACCTTCTCCGCACCCGGCCTGGGATGCGGCTCTGACAGGCTTGCAGTTGCGTGTGAGGAGAGCAGGAGGGAATGCTGGACCCCGTGTGGGCCGCTGTGAAAACGGTCTCAAAGGAATGCTTCTTCGCTCAGGGCTTGGGTTCGGCCGAGTCTGGGTGGGTCCCAGAGGAGGAGCCTCTTCCCCAAAACTTTGGGGAAACCGAGGCCGGAGGATTGTGTGAGTTAGGAAGCGAGCTGAAATCTAAGGCTGGACACCCGGAGGGTCAGCAGGAGCCGGCAGGAGTGGGTAGTGAGACAGCGGTCCTGGGAGGGTCTGAGGGAGAGCTGGCTGGGCCCACAGGTCAGACGCTGTGTGGGCAAGTCAGAAACAGAGCACGGATTTTCTGAGCCCCTTTGAGGGCATATTACTGAGATGGCTCAATATGGAAACAAAATGCTCGCCGTTTCAGATTTCAGGTTCCTAGGGGGTGTGTGTGTGCGTGTGTGTGTGATTGTGTGTGTGTGAGTTTGGGTGTGTGTGTGCGTGTGTGTGTGATTGTGTGTGTGTGAGTGCGTGTGAGTGTGGGTGTGAGTGTATGTGCGTGCGTGAGTGTGGGGGGTGTGCGTGTGTGTGTGTGATTGTGTGTGTGTGCGTGTGAGTGTGGTGTGAGTGTATGTGCGTGCGTGAGTGTGGGTGAGTGCATGCGTGTGTGAGTGCGTGTGCGTATGTGTGAGTGTGTGTGTGTGCATGTGTGTGTATGTGGGTGTGCATGTGTGTGTGTGTGTGCATGTGAGCATGTGTGCACTCATGAGAGATGGCGAGAGAGAACAGGATTGACCCCACAGACCACAACTGTCAAGATTCTGCTGTCACTGTCCTAATTGACTTCAGCTCCCACAGTCAGAGTGAGGCTGGGCCTCGGCCGCACTCCTTCCTCCTGTTGCTCAGAGCGCGTCCCCTGCCAGGATCGTCCCTGACCAGCAGGAGCTTGGCACGAGCCTCACTCCATGTGCTTCCAATGAGCTGATGCTCACGATAACCTCCCTCCCTGTGTTCTCTTAAAACCTCGGGCCGACCATGGCCTCCGAGGGCCGCTGGCGCACAGGGAGCGGAAGAGCAGCTGCATTAGCAGTGGCGCCTGCCCGGTCTGTGCCCGGCTGACGGTGGGCGGAGGCCTCGGGCGGGTTGTTGCCTGAGCCCCAGCCTCCAGCCACGTGGCTTTAGGGGAACCGGGGCGGCTGTGTCCGTTTCTAAGAAACACCGGGCTTCCTGTCTCACCAGGAGGAAGCAACCTCACGTGGGTGGGAAGCACATGGTTCTCAGGCTCCCCTCCCTGGGACCCCTTCCTCCACAGGCACTGCCTCGTCTACACCGTCCCTCCTCCCCCGTCCGTGGCATCGGGCCCAAATCCACCTCTGAGGTCTTCCTCCCTCTGCATTTACAGGGTCGGGGCGTCACTGACAGCCTCCTCTGTCCCTGAGGACGTGAGGCCGCGGCCCCTCTGTAATGCAGAGCGCATCTTTCCTTGGCAGGTTCCATGCCGGTGAACAGCGCGAGAACTGTGTCGCCGCCCAGAGAAGCGTCCCCTTCCGTGTCTCCTTCCTCCCTGTCTTCTGCCTCATCCTCCCCCGCGTCCTCCTCAGGCAGTGTCCCAGGCAGTGCTCTGGGGGGTTCCCCCCCACCTCAGGTAAGCACCCCCCCCAGTGGGAGAGTGAGCTGCCTCTACTCCTCCCACTTCCACACTCAGCACCACCAGGTACTCCGCGCAGAGCCAGGGCCCAGAGATGCTCTGCCAAGAGCCCGCCCCGGCCCCCTCCCGAGTCCCTTCCATAGAAGCTCACCTGCTACTTCTCAGCCCCCTCTCCCCCCCCCCCCCCCCACACACACACAGCCACTGGCTCGCTCACTCAGCAGACTTTACGGGGTGTGGCGCCTGGGCTGGGCTGTGGGGCACAGAGATGCTAGGACACATGCTGGGCCCTAGTGGTCCCCCCAGGGGCCGAGGAGCAGGCACAGACCCTGGGGTGCCTTGGGGAGGAGCTGAGAACCTTGGAGGCAACATTTCCCTGGACTCAAACATGACGTCACCGAAAACAGAGGTTTGGACTCATTCCTTCACCAGGAGTCCGTGTCAGGCCTCTTGACCTGCAGACCCTGCTCCAGGCCCGGGGGACCAGAGAGCAGGGGACAGCCGGGCCCATGCGCTTGCGGAGCTGCTCTCTGGGCCCTGCCCTCCTGGGCCCCCCTGTGGGTTCCCTTTGCCACAGGCCCTGCCCTGCCTGCTGGCAACAGCCCTTTAGCAGCCGCGCAGGCAGGAGTCAGGCTTAGAAAAGGCACTGGACAGTCCTCATGGCCATCCTACCCCACAAGCCTCCCCCCCAACACCCCCCACACCCCCCGAAAGGTAGCTCTCCCCTTCCTTCAGGAGGCGCCATGCGGAGGAAGAAGCCTTGGTTTCGGGTAGTTGGAGGAACACATCTGTGGATGGAGGTGCCCATTAGTAGGGACATGACTGAGCAAGCCCTGGGGCACCCTGCCCCTCTGTGCCTGACCGCCCTTCCGTCACGGGCCCAGGAGCTGGCCAATGCCTGTGCCTCACCTTTGGCTTCCTACCCACCTGACCCAAGACCCAGAAAAGCCTTCGGCCCATGCTGACACGGGGGCTCCAGGCAGACCCCAGCAGGCCCCAGGGTAGCCATCTGAGTGAAGAGCTGCCCTCAGAAATCAGTCATTCCAGGCAGAATTCTTTTCGACTGGAGACAGGGAGGGAGGGGGCTATAGACTGAGGTGTGCCTTCCCCATATAGATACACGCTGGCAATTTTGAAATCACGGCTATGTTTTGCCCCGCAGGTCTCAAGAGGTCATTTCAGTCCTTCCACCCCAATCTTCCTGAGGCGAGCCAGGGCCCACGGAGCACCCAGCGAAATCCCTCTCTACCTGCCGCACGGCCAGGTGCTGGAGCGGACAGAGTTCTGCCTGGTGAGGCCGGGTGGAGAGGGCCTCGCCAGCCCCGGGACCCCCAGCCCTGCAGCGATGGCTCCCAATGGCTGTCAGGACACCAGCGGCACCCACAGAGGCCCACACCCCATTGGAGGGAAGGGCGGGTGCTCGCCAGACCAAGAGCTGTCTCCTAGGGCTGCCGGGGGCTCCGGAGAAGGGCATAGGGGCTCCCAGACCCAGACGGGAGAGAAAGGTGGGTCCGAGCTGGCAGAGGGGAAGAAGCTGGGCTTGAAGAAGCTGGCCCTCACCCAGGAGCAGAAGAGCAAGTTGCTGGATTGGAATGACTTCAACCCCCAGAGCTCGCGCCTGGAACCCGGGCCACAACCCTCCCAGAAAAGTGCCGAGAATGGTAGAGGAGGCCGAGTGCGGAAGCCAGTCTGCCCCTTGGTGCTCCCTCGGGCGGAGAGAGAGACCCTGCCAGCTCAGGCAGAGGCTCCGGAGAAGAGGGGGACCCCCGCTGGAAGGACTCCAGAGGAGCGAAGCGTGGCTCCACCCAGGTCCCCGCTGAGACTCATTACCAATGCCCTCCGAAGGGCCCTCCTGGAGCCCCTCCTCTCCAACTCCGAAGGCGGGAGGAAGGCCTGGGCCAAGCCAGAATCCAGGGCTTTGCCCACCAGCCCGCCGCAGGCTTGCGCGCGATCCTTCAGCCTTCGGAAACCCAGTGGCAATAAAGACTGGGACCAGCAGTCCCCTGGGAGAGACATGGCCAGCAGGGCCTCGGCCTTCTTCTCCCTGGGCACCCCGCCTGTCAGGGCTGCCCAGCCCTCCACCCCTGGCCTTCCCGACCCTGCCCTCTGCACCCACAGTCTGCCCAACCGGCCCTCCAAGATGTTTCCTGGATTGGCGTCCCCACCCTGCAGCAAGATGGAAGATGTCCCCAAACTGCTGGAGAAAGTGAGTTTGCAAGAGACCTTTCCGGATGCTCCTAGGACTCCAAAGAGGAAAATCGCACTCTTTTCCTCCCTCAGACTCAGAGACAAATCTTCTGAGGGTTCCCTCCAAGAATCCAGGCAAAGGAAGGACTTCCGTGACCTCTTTAGCATCCCCAAGGGGAAGGTGCAGCCTGTGGACAGCGCGAGGCTGGGGCAGAGGGCCCCGCCTCCTCCAGAGCCAGATGCAAGTAAGTGACACAGGTCCGCAGCTCATGCCGGCAGTTAGTTAACATTATTGGGTTCATACCCAGCATCTTTCACCTCGTCTTGCTCCTCAAATTAAAGTCTGACAAAAGTAGGAAACTGGAATTTGAAAAATTTGAAAAAATATGAAACAATTAGATTTGAAATTATGTGATAGGAAGTTTTGAAAGAGAGAGTTAACCAGAAATTCACCGTGTTCCCTTATTGTCCATCTATGCATATTTTTTACTAAGTTGGGCATAAAATTTTGTGCCTTTTTAAATTAAACATTATATTATAGGTATTAAGCCAATTGCCTCATCGTCTACATAAATGTGATTTAATGGCTATAAAATATTCTATCTAGTGGTTATGTTATTTAATGAACTGATTCTTTATGGTTTAACTTATAGATATATATGTATGTATAAATTATATATATGAACATATTTATATTTTTATATGGTCTTGGGTGGACATTTTTATGCATATAGCTTTTTCTTTCCTTTGAATTATTTTTTTAGGATAGGTTCCAAGAAGTGGAATGAAAATGTGAATACTTTTAAGATTCTCCACTTACTCTGACAAATTGCTCTTTAAAAGAGGACCTATGGGTAAAGGATGCATGGGATCTCTCTGTGTTATTTCTTACAACTGTGGGTTGTAAATTTCAATTAAAACATGGGAAAGGTACCAATTTATATTCCCCCATTAATGTATGAAAGTACCTTTTCACCACACTCTGCATCGAGTATTACATATTTTAAATATTGCTATTTTACTGGTCCAAAAATGGTGCTTCAAAATACTATTGGATGTAAACTCTAACGGAAAAAAGTTTTTTCTTAATGGTGCCTTTTAAACTTGTATTTCTTATTACTAGCTTAAACATGTTGGTTACCAACTGAACCTTAGGCTTTTTAGATTTAAATCTATTTATAATTTTTCAAATTATAAAATTAATACATTAAATAATCTGAATAATTCAACAATATAGAAATATCTTAAAAACAAAAACAGTAATGTATTCTCGCATCCCCTCCTCCTCAACGAAGTTTTGGTATATATCTTTGAGACAGTTTAAACATTCACATGGCTTCTGTTTTTGTTGTTGATACTTGTTTGATTGCTTTAAACCAGGGGTCCTCAAACTACGGCCCGCGGCCACACGCGGCCCGCCGAAAACATTTATCCGGCCCGCCGGGTGTTTTTGCCGCCGCTGTGTGCATAGGAATTTGCTCATAGTTTTTTTTTAAACTATAGTCCGGCCCTCCAGCGGTCTGAGGAACAGTGAACTGGCCCCCTGTTTAAAAAGTTTGAGGACCCCTGGGTTAAACCAAACTGATTCTACTATTCCTATTGTTGAGCAACTTTGTTTTTCTTTTTTTTTTTTTTTTTTTTTTTTATTTTTTATTTTCTTATTTAACTCTTATTTGGGAACTTAGGTTTTCAAGCAAAAAATTATTTATCTGTGTGATGCCTTAGTCAAAAAGCTATATATAGAGTGTCCCCCCCCGCAAAAAATGCACTTTGAATAATTATAAAGGCATTTCATTTTCAAAATTGAGCTAGCAGCTATTAAAGTGTGTGCACATTTTTTGAGACGCCCTGTAGATTAACAAGAGAGTGCATTTTCAGCCAAGCTCAGATGTAAGCATGGACAGGCTGAAATATAACTGCACCCTTTTATCCCATCATAAACTTTAATGTGTTGTGCATTTCTGTGTAGATAATACACAAAATCCACATGGCTCGAAATAGCAGGCACAGGATGTCCTTTCTCCCTTGCCTGTCCTGGGGCCATGAGATCCTACCACTGGTGACAGATGTTATTGTCAGGCTCTTGGGCTTCCTTTCAGGTAGAATTTATAAACACACAAGCAAATGTGCATATTATATTCTTTCCCCCCACAAATGGTAGCATACTGGCATATTGGACACACTTTTTTTTATACTTTTGGTTTTATTGTGGAGGTCATTCCATATTAGTACATAAAGAGCTTTGTTTTATAGCGACACGGTATTCCGTTGTGCACATGCACCATAATTGATGGAGCCAGTCTCCCATGATGGAAAGTTTAAGTCATGTCAAGACTTTTGCTATGGCAAACAGTGCACAATAATTAAGAACTTAGGTCATTTGGCACATGCGTGAGTTTATCTGCAGGGTAAATTCCTAGAAATGGAAATGTTGGAACAAGGACATGTGAATTGAGAATTTTGATCTTGCCAAATTGTCCTCCATCAAAGGGGTGTTGGAGTGTGAGAGTGCTGTTTCTATACTGACACTAAACGGTTATTACCCAATCCCCCGCCCTTTTTTAAAAAAAAATCTTTACCAATCTGATTGAGCATCTTGTCATAGTCATTTATATTTCCTTTTCTGTGAACTATTGTTTCTGTTCTTTATCTAGTTTTCTGTTGGGTTGTTGGTATTTTTCTTAAGGATATGAAGGGACTCTGGTAGATAGAAAATTTAGCCTTTTGAATTATAAATACTTTTCCCAGTTTCTTGTTAGTGTTTAACTTGGTTTATGGTGGTTTTGTCATATAAAATTTTTATTTTTATCTAGTAGTTGTAAGCAATTTCTCACTTTCTGGCTTCTGGGCTATATATAATAGTTCAGAAAAAGCTTCATCCAAGTTTACAGAGGAATTTTCTTACCGTTTCTTTTAGTCTCTTGTTTTTAAATTTTTTTACATTTAAATATTTACATTTTCTTCCTAGTATACCCGTAAAATATGAGACAAAAGATCCAACCTTATTTTTTTATATATCTCCCTGGTTATCTTAAAATAATTTAGTGAATAATTCATCTTTTTCCTCTCTTCTGTGAGATGACATCTTTATCATATATCAAATCCCTGTACTTGGACTGATTTCCACGCCATCTATTATATTTTATTGAGTTGTCCGTTATGTGTCAGTCCCACACTGTTTTAATTAATTTAATAAATATATATATATATATCTGTGTATTATACTATCAGGTAGAAAGAGTATTCCATTATTGTTCTTCTCTTTTAAACATTGTCTGGCTCTTCTTGCTTGTTCTGTATTCTATATGAATTTAGCATCAGTTTGTCTATGTTTTCCACCAAAAAAATCCTACAAGTACTTGTATGGATTGAGTTAAGTTTACAAACTAACTTGAAAGAATTTACAACCTTATGATAGGAACTGTCTTTTTTTTATTTGTTCATATCTTTTATTGTGATTCTCAGGGACATTCTGAACTTTATGTCGAATAGCTTTTGGATATTTATTGTTAAGTTTATTATTACACATTTAGATATTAGATGTTTAGTTTTTGTTGCTATTGTAAATAGGATATTTCCATGTTATCTTGCTACTCTTGGTTGTGTATATGAAAGTTGTTGATTTCTGTATAGTTATTTTGTACCTATCTATTTTGCTGAATTATCTTTGCTTGTAGAAATCTTACAGTGAGTTCTGGGCCCTCCCCAAAATATACAATCATAGCCTGTGCAAATAATGATAATTTTACTGCTTGTTTTAGAAGTTCTGTGCTTCTAATTTATTGTTTCCTTAGTTTCTTTGGTTCCCAGAATCTCCAGAACCAATATTAAATAAAAATTGTGATAATGGCCCAGCCAGTGTTGCTCAGTGGTTGGGCGTCCTCCCATGAACCAGGAGGTCACAGTTCAATTCCCAGTCAGGGTACATGCCCGGGTTGTGGGCTCTACCCCCACTAAGGGGCATATAGGAGGCAGCCAATTGATGATTCTCTCTCACCATTGATGTTTCTATCTCCCTCTCCCTTTCTCTGAAATGAATAAAAACATATTTTTTAAAAAAGTGATAATGGTTTCCTTATTACATTCCTAACTTTAATGAGAAGGCATCTCATTAATGAAAATAATGTTTTCCCATTTAAGCATTATGCTGGCTCCTGGATTGACCCAGATATATTTAATCATTTCAAGGAAATAATCAACTAATCATATTTTATTAAAAGTACAGTTGCCAACACCGGTTTGGCTCAGTGGATAGAGCGTCGGCCTGCGGACCGAAGGGTCCAGGGTTCGATTCCGGTCAGGGGCATGTACCTTGGTTGCGGGCACATCCTCAGTGTGGGGTGTGCAGGAGGCAGCTGATCGATGTTTCTCTCTCATCGATGTTTCTGACTCTCTATTCCTCTCCCTTCCTCTCTGTAAAAAAAAAAAAAAATCAATAAAATATATAAAAAAAAAAAGTGCAGTTGACCCTTGAATAATGTTTGAACTGTATAGGTTCACTTATATGCAGATTTTTTGTTAATTGACCCAAGCAGTTCAAACCTGTGTTGTTCAAGAGTCAACTGGTGAATGGGAATTCAAAAATTTGGAGGACCTACTTAAGTTATGTGCCAAATTTCCACAGCATAGGTAGGTGGTGGGTGCCTCTAACAGGGTCAACTCTAGTTTTCATCTCAAATGGATGTTGAATTTTAGCAAATATTATTTTAGTACCTTTTGAAATGATTGTGTAAATTTGTTGTTTTTAGTTGGATTACTATGAATTATATAATACATTAAATTGCTGAAATAAATACCACTTAGTCATGATGTTTTATTATTTTAATATATTTTTTGTTCTGTTTCCTAATATTTAAGATTTTGCATCAAATTCATAGGTAAGATTAGCCTTTAGTTCATACCTCTATAACAGTGGTTCTCAACCTTCCTAATGCTGAGACTCTTTAATACAGTTCCTCATGTTGTGGTGACCCCCAACCATAAAATTATTTTCATTGCTTCTTCATAACTGTAATTTTGCTACTGTTATGAATCATAATGTAAATATCTGATATGCAGGATTTATTTTCATTGTTACAAATTGAACATAATTAAAGCATAGTGATTAATCACAAAAACAATATATAATTACATATGTGTTTTCCAATGGTCTTAGGCGACCTATAGGTAGAGAACTGCTGCTCTATAATTTCTGTATATGCTGATTATAATAAGTTGGGGTAAATGTGTTTTCCTGATTTATTTA